TGCACTCCAGTCTGGGCGACAGAGTGAGACTCCAACTCAAAAAAAAAAAAAAAAAGAACACAGCCCATCCTTCAGTGCATGGGGGAACTGAATCTTAAGTTTTGCAAAACAATAGAAACGCTGACCTGAACTCAGTCGGCTGAAACTTCGACCTGCTTGGGATAACCCAAGTTACCTGTGACGGTCCAGTTATTTTCTCCTTAGTAAGTGGCTTTTAAGCCCAATTAGAATTTAGAAAATAGAGATGTGATTAAACAAACACATTTAAATAAACAAATATGTCTGTGTTGCATGTAAGTTCAGTCAAGGCTGGTACGTTAAGTCATGTGTTTGATATTTAAGAACATGTGCTCATTAAGTTTCTCATGAATGTGAGTTATTGACTTTAGTTCAATTGTGAAGTTGAAAAGTTAAGAGAAATTGGCAATGTCTGGACACAGAGTGATTAAGAGAACTTAATATTCACTTTAATATCTTTGAAACCGGCCAGGCACAGTGGCTCACGCCTGTAATCCCAGCACTTCAGGAGGCCAAGACAAGAGGATTTCCTGAGCCCAAGGTTCAAGACTAGCCTGGGGAACTTGGTGAGACCTCCTCTCTACAATAAATCAAGAAAAATGAGCCAGGTGTGGTGGCATGTGTCTATTGTTCTAGCTACCTAGAAGGCTGAGAAGGAAGGATCGTTTGAGCTCAGTAGGTCGAGGCTGCCGTGGCCATGAGCATGCCACTGCACTCCAGCCTGGGTGACAGAGTGAGACTCTGACTTAAAAAAAAAACACCTCACAAACAGAAAGTCAATGATGTGTACACGTGGACAGAGAGAGTGGAATAACGGACACTGGAGACTCCAAAGGAGGGAAGGGTGGGTGCAGGGTGAGAGGCGAAAGATGACCTGTTGGGTGCAATGTTCATGTTCGGGTGATGGGTTACACTCAAAGTCCAGATGTCACCACTACTCAATATAGCCATGGAACAAGATCACACTTTACCCTCCACATATATAAAAAAAAGTTTTTTGAGTCGGAGTCTCACTCCGTCGCCCAAGCTGGAGTGAAGTGGCATGTTCACGGCCACCCCAGCATCGACCTACTGGGCTCCAGAGATCCTTCTGCCTCAGCCTTCCAAGTAGCCGGAACTGCAGACACACACTACACGCCCGGATATTTTTTATTTTGTTGTAGAGACGATGTCTTGCCAAATTGCCCAGGCTGTTCTTAAACCTGTGGGCTCAGGCAATTTACTCGCCTTGGCCTCCCAAAGTGCTGGGATGACGGGCTGAGCCACTGAGCTCGGTCAAAATTTTTTTTAAAAGGAACTTAATATTCACTTTGCTTATGCTATTTCTTGTATCCAAAAGTACTTTCTGAAATCCTTGGGAACATTTTGTTTCTTATTCCATAAAGAAATGAAATCTATTACATTTGTCAATGCAGTTTAGAATGTCAAAGGCAGTGCCATCCAATATAAATATAATGCAAGCTACATATATAATTTAAAATGTCTCAGGAGCACCCCCCCCCTTTTTTTTTGAGTCAGGGTCTCACTCTCTCACCCAGGTTGGAGTGTAGTGGTGCAACCACAGCTCACTGCAGCCTCAACCCTCCTAGGCTCAGGTCACCCTCCCACCTCAGCCTCATAAATAACGGACTATAGGCGCACACCACCACACCCGGCTAATTAAAAAAATTTTTTTTGCAGCGATGGGGGTCTCACTATGTTGCCCAGGGTGATCTCAAACTCCTGGACTCAAACTCCGCCTCAACCCCTCAAAGTGGCGGGACTACAGGCACACACCACCAATTTTTTATTTTTTGTAGAGATGGGGTCTCGCTATGTTGGCAGGCTGGCACCGAACTCCTGGGTCAGGAGCCCCATTTTTGAAAGTAAAAAAGAATCGAGCCCAGCCCAGAACCCAGGACACCCGAGCATGGAACTAATTGTACTAATTAAATTCACTTAACCTAATATATCCAAAATGCTATCATTTCAACGTGTAATTCACATACAACTTACTAATGAGACATTTCACATTAGTTTTTGAACCGTCTTCAAAATCTGATGTGTATTTTACACTTTTACACATCTCAGTTTGGACTACACATTGTAAATGTGTGTTTCTAGTGGCTACCGTACTGAACAGCACAGATTTAAGAGAACTTAATTAGCTACATTTGTAACAGGTATTTATTATTTAAGAAAGTTTGTTCTGTTCAATTTGATTTCCTCAAATATTTATTAAAGGCCCCTTGAAAGTCATTGTTAAAAATTACTGGACTAGCCGGGTTTGGTGGCTCAGCCTGTAATTCCACACCTTTGGGAGGTTGAGGTGAGTGGATTGCCTGAGCCAGCGGGTTTGAGACCCGCCTGGGCAGCGAGACCTCATCTCTACAATAAATCAAAAAATCAGCCGGGCGTGGTAGTGCATGCCTGTAATTCCGGCTACTTGGAGGGCTGAGGCGGAAGGATCGCCGG